TCTACTGAGGTCCCTTCTGACCCTAAACATCTATGAAATCTCTGAAAGAACATTATCAGTTGTCTCCTAAGAGTGCAAAATTCTTTTAATTTCACCCAGCACCACCCTCACTGGTACCCAGTGGGCCAGATGAGTGGTACAGGGATGGTCCACAGTCTAGATTGGGCTCACAGATTCCTCACTTCCCTCTGCATGCCAGATCCAGTTTGCATGGCACCCACTCTGGGATCCACACTATATGCAGCACCTGTTCTAGCCAGTTCGGGATGCACACCACATGTGGTGCATACTCCGGCCAGCCTGAGATGCGTATCACATGTAGGCCCCCCCCCCCCCAACAGTCCATGACTGCAGTGCATGTGACACCCATTCCAGTCTGCCCAGGATACAGACAGCAGGTGATGCCTGCCAGGGCACTAAGTGGAGCAGACTTCCCAGAGCAGGCACCGCCTGTGATGTGCATCCCACTTCTTGCTTGTGGGTCAACTATGAGATACAGAGGCAGCACTGAGGACCAGATAAAGGGGCTCTGTGGGCTGGATATGACCTGCAGAGCTTATTTTTGATGCCCATGCTCTATGGTATAAAGAAATTAGTTGTCTTTGTGGGCAAGTCACCACATGACTTTTGAGAAGCATTCTTAGTTCTGGTAGTAGAGGAAAATGGTTACTAAGACCTTTCTGTGGCAGGTATTGAATGGAATTCTATTACCCTTTTTGCATCCTGCTAAGGGTACTTACCCAGGAAAAAGGAGACCCAGGTTTTAAAGTCTCTCCTCATGGAAATAAGGTTTTAATTTGTATCTCTCTGACTTTCTAGTACATTGCTTGAATCATCAAAACACAGATTAGGCATTATCCAGTCCTCTCTTCAGCATGCTTTTTGAAACTGAGCCACTAAACATTGTCATTAGATAAAATGAGTGGCAAATAGTGGGAAAATTTCTGCCCTGTTAGGAGCAAGGGTCTAGGCTGGAACTCAGAAGTTAGCTTGTTCTTTCTCCTTGACTTGCGTATCTTACTCTTGGCTGCTATTGGCCAGTTTCAAAATCAGAGCTGGAGAAGGCATAGGATAATGCCTAACCCAGGGGTGGGCAAAATATGGCCCAGGGCTGGATCTAGCCCACCAACTAACTGCATCTGTCATTTAGGGTCAGCAGCCTCAAAGTCATGGGATCTGGCCTGTGGGGAGCTGGTGGCTCCAGCTGCTACGTCGTGCCAGGTGGGTGGGTCCATAGCTTACGATAGCTCCTGTCCTGTGCACCAGAAGCAGAGCTGGGCGCTTGCTGGTATGAGCTGTGGGTACAGCCAGCAGGCTTCCACTGAGGATTGGGGAGACTGCCTGGGACTGCAGCAGCATTACCTTCAGACTTGGGCAGATGTGCTGATCCCCAACAAGAGCCTGCCGGTTGCATCCACAGCTGATGCTGGTGCCCACTGGGCCCTCCTTCCAACATGTGGAGCAGGAACTGGCATAAGCTACAGGGATGTGCTGTAGGTGCAGGAGGGTTCAGCGGGGGAGGTGAGAGGAGGGAGAGACAAAGATAGGCAGCCCTGCCCACAGTGAGCAACAGAAGCCAGTGCTGGGCGCCAAGAAAAAGCAGGACCTGGTGGCTGGTATGTCCCAGGGCCCTTCTGGCAGTTGCTGCCCAGAGTCTACACCTGGGCTGCCCTGTGGCTCCTCCCCACTGCTGCTGCCACCACCCTGCAGCACCCTAAGCAAGTTCACAGATGACACCAAGCTGGGGGAAATTGTACATATGCTGGGAGGGTAGGGCTAGGATTCGGAGTGACCTAAACAAATTGGAGGATTAGGTTGAAAGAAATCTCATGAGGTTCAGGGAAGACAAGTGCAAAGTCCTGCACCTAGGATGGAAGAATCCCATGCACCGCTACAGGCTTGGGACCAACTGGCTAAGCCTTTGTATGAATTGAGCTTCTTTGGAGTGACACACTGTGGTATATGCATACAGGCAAGCAGATATCTGTAAAACTGTAGTCAAATAGATAACAGAAAGCTCCTTAAGATGAGAGATGCTTTTAGAAAAACTGAAGTGTGGGAGGTATGCACCAATTGGTATGACTTCAGCACAAAGTACAGGGAAGAAGAGGGTGCATATGCCGAGGACAAAAATGTCTTCAAGCTTGAGTGCTTGGAACACGTGTACCCACAGTGACACATACATACGGACAACAAACCTTGCAGAACTCCAGTTACTGTGGTAAATAATTTATTTTTCTCTGACTTAGATTGTAAGGTGCTGTTCTAATGTATCAGAAGACGAAAAGTCACATTCTTAACATTTCCTACTTGTTGAAAAATCTTGGCAGCAGTTCTACAAACTTATTTATTCTCTGGTATTCAATAGCTATACAATATTTTGCACCCCATTTGGCTGTTAGTAGGTATGGATGTCTTTTGAAAATGTCACCCCACGAGTCCATATGTTTGTACATCTAGATGGAGTATACCTTAAGTTTAAAACATATGTTAGTTAATGGCAATGAAACATTTGAGATTAGTGGTAATAGCTTGCTAAACTACTGAACTCTATTTCTTTTTCATTTATTATAGGGAAGATAAGAAATGGTTCCTGGAAAAATATCCTGACAAACTGCCATCACTGTTAGGAAAACTCTATGTATTTGCATTTACTTGGGCAGTTGGTGGAGTTTTAAGAAGAGAAGATGATTATGAGGAGGACTCTTTGATTGTCATAAATACCACAGATGAATGTCTTGTAAATGTAACGCGCAGTTTCAATAATCTTGTTCGTGATATATTTGAAGGAGAACCACCTACTGGTAATTTTCAATATAAGTTCTGTACTGCATGCCATTCATTAAACTTACAGTGATAATATTGTAATTAATTGAAAGATTTATTTTTTTTTTCAGAAGTAAAACTTGTAATACTGTATTTTCTCCCATATAACCTATACCTTTTTCTCCAAAAGCAGCTGATGAAAATTGGGCTGCATGTTATATGCAAGAAAAACAGAACCCAAAGAATATGGAAATTTGGTAGCAGAGGAGTGGTGGCAGCCTGAATTGTCACATTTCTAGAGGTGTGTCTACACATGCATTTGATCTGGGAGAAGTTTACTCACAAGTAAACTTCTCATGAGTAAATGCACTCAGGCAGGCATTTACACATGCGGGGACTTGTGAGCAGATTTGCTGCTTATGACAGCAATCTGTTCCCACCCCCTCCAGCACTGCACGAGTCCCCTGCAGCAGCCAGAGGGAGCTCTAGGCTCCCCCTGGACGCTAGCCTAGGGGCTGGCAGGGAGCACAGGGCCAATCTCCTGGTGTTGGCTGAGACATTGCTCCCTGCTGCTGGGGCAGGCTCCACCACCAGAGCCTGAGCAGAAGACAACATCCCCTTGCCCTGGCAGCAGAAAGCTTCTGGCCCCAGCTCTCCGACTGGGGGCAGGAAACTTGGAAAGAGTTGCAGGGGAGGGGCAGGTCGCAGGCTCCTACCCCAGTCTGCCAGTGGGGCAGCTAGCAGCGAGCCCCTGGCTCAGTGGGGATTCCCAGCCCCCACAACCTAATCTTAATCTTGGAGCAGGGGGCTGGGAGCTCCCTGCTGCCGGGATAGGGAGCCATAATACCCTCCCAGGCTCCAGCGGCAGAGCCCACCCTGGCAGCAGGAATCAATCTCCCACCCCCTGCTGCCTGGCTTACCGGTAGCACATTTGCTCCTGGTCAGGTGTCTACATGAGTGCTACTGTGCTGTAACTAATTGCAAGTAAATTTGCTACTTGAATTTTCAGGTAGCAAATTTACTTATGATTAAAGCAGTTTACTGCACAGCAAATGTACGCACATGTAGATGTGCACACTTACTGCACAGTAAACTGCTCTACTGCACAGTAAAGCATCTCAAGTAGTTGCACACTAGGAGTCACATGTATTAATGCTGCCATGACTCCTTTGCTGCCAAATTTCTGGACCTGTAGGGAGTGCCCCTGGCTGCATGGCATGGCCCTGCGCACCAGATTAGGCTGTCTCCTGGGATCAGTTTGTCAGTCCCATCCAGCACATGGGGTTGACAGCATGCTTAGGAGCAGTTTCAGCTTCCTATCTGCTGCTATTCAGATTATTACCCGAAGTAAGATCTTTTTTTCTTTCATGCTACCTTTTCAGAAACTGGTAGCATGTTATATTTAGGGTTATGTATGAGAAAATTCAGTACTATATGATCATGTGTATTTTTTAAATCCACATATTCAAATCTGGTTTTGAACATTTTTTAAACTGTATACTACCTAAAGACAAAAGAAGAAAAGTTGATTAATAATTATATCTGGATATTGACAGACATACCTTGACCATGCTCTAACTCATGGCACTTTCTACAAAGTGTCATGAGTTAGAGTCCCTCCTCCTGGCCCCCAATCCAACAGACATTCACCTGCTGGGTTGGGATACAGAGGCTGGAGCCTGCCATCACTAGCCCTGGCAAGCAGGCAGGGGCACCCCTGAAGCATCCAAGAAGGCCGCTGAACCACTCCTCTCACCAGCCCTGCCCCCTCCACTGGAGCTGCAGCTTGGGATTTGCTACCTGGCTGGAGCTGGGGGGAGAGGGGGGTGGAATGGACCCCCCCGCCAGCTTTACAGCTCCTCCCCACCGAGCTACCCTGGTTGGGGTATTGAGGGGAGCTGGGCTGGACCTGCAAGGCAAAGGGGCTCCATTCCATCCCCCATCCATCTCCAGCTCAGGCCACGCAAGCTGGCAGCTCATGCTGCTCCTTTCCCCCTCTCTGCTTTGTGCGGCCAGAGCTGGAGGTGGGGTGTAGAAGGGAGCCCCCTCACCTTGTGAGCCCAGCCCAGCTACCCCCAGTACCCCAGCCAGGGTAGCTAGGAGGACTCCATTCCACCCCTCCCCCCACTTCCAGCTTCAGCCAGACAGAAAACCCCAGCCAGCAGCTTGGTACTGCTCCCTCCCTCCCTCCCTCCTCTTCTGCCCTTTCTTCCCCCTGCTGACAGCCCTGGAGGTAAGGACAACCCCAATGGGACTGTCCCAAATGGACCACCCTGCTGACAGCCCCAATGCTCAAAAAATTAACTCTAGGGGAGGATTAATTTTTTTGCACAGTTGGCCATTTTAAAGGCACTCTACAGCTGTGCATATGTCATGGCACAGCTGTAGAGAGCTTTCAGGGGCCTGACTGCACTTGTATAAGTGTCCTCCATTTTAAAACTCAGTCACAGAACCACTTCCAATTGAACATGGTCACATTCATTATTAATGCTCTAATTGGAATAGGTAAACCTGTCAGGGTACACCAGCCATAATTTCCACGTCAGGTGACTGCCGAACAAAAAATCTGTTCACAAAGTAGCAAAAACTCTGAAGTTCTGGAGTTGTTAATTTTGTTTAGCTACATGGCTTTATGTTACTGAGCATATAAGAACAGTGTGAAATTTCTGCTTCTCTGATGCAGATCTTCAGCTAGTATAAATTGTCATAAATTTATTAACTTCAAATTCTAATATGTACTAGCTGAGGATGTCTTGCTACTTAAGTGTCTTGTCTTGCTGCCTAAGTGTATCTCTGTTGCTGACTTTACAGGTGTTCAGTTTCCATCAGGAGACAGGGTTATCTTTGCTTATTTTGTGGATTTACAAACAGGTGATTTTGCACCATGGACAGACTTAGTTCCTACCACTCAGTTTCTGATTCAGCAAGGTAAGATTCATTAATGAAAATCCTTTTGATAGACATTTAGCTGCTTCATAATTAATGGGAGGAATATTTTTTTTTTCCATTTACATTTCTTCATTTACAAAAGTGAAGAAGTTGTACCACAGTAGACTGGAGTTCTCCATCTTTAAAATAAATACAATATAGATAACTTCTAGTATAAATATTTTCCTATGTTGGCCTTGTATTTTGCTTCAGATTTATTAGAGAGATCACATGCATGGGTAAGAGGGTAGGTTATTTCATCAGATATGTCTTGATATCTCTGAGAAGCAAGAATATTTTGTGATATCCTTTCTCGTGCCAGCTGTATAGTCAGGAAAGCTATTACACTGCACTGATTAGGTTTTCCTCCCCCTCCATTGTGTCCAAGTAACAGGGTTTGGGTCCTCTGTTACAACCCCCCATAATTAGATTCTGTATGTAGTAAATTTATAACTTTGCTGTAATTTTCCATGTTCAGGATCTAACTGTTGCAGGATTGTCTTAAATTTGTTCCCCCAACACTACTGCAGTGAGAAACACAGCAGAAGGGGTACATGGTGGGGGGCAGGTGGTAGAGGAAGTCAAGTGGCCTGACCCCTGACCATTACCCCCCAGAACCTGTGTCCCTTGATGCCCAATGCCCCTGCCCCTTTTCCCCGCTGCTGCCAGCCTCTCACCCACCGCCCAGTGCCTGTCCCCCACAGGGCCTGTGCCTCTTAGCACCTACCCCTCCCTCCACTTGCCTCCCCTGCTGCTTGTCCCCCTGGTGTCTGGCACCTGCTACCTCCCTGCCACTTGCTCCCCATAGTGCCTGTGTTCCTTGGTGTCTGGCTCCCTACTACTTATCCTTCCTACTGCCTGCCCTTATTGGAGTCTGTATTCCCTGGAGCCTGCCTGTTCCTCCCTCCCTGCCACTTACCACCCCTGCTGACTGTTCCCACCCCTAGTGCCTATGCTTCTGTAGTACCTGTGCCCTCCAGCATGTGCCCTCTAGCACCTGCCCTCCTCTGCTACTTGCCCCCTCTGCCACTTGTCTACCTAGTACCTGTGCCCCCCCCATCTTGTCCACCCACTGCTGTCTGCCCACCCCATGCACACCAATGCTTACCATCAGTCTTGGCACTGGCCCAGACCTGGCCCCACACATGCTGGCTCCAGCCCCTGCCTGGCCTGATGGCAGTTCTGGCCCTGGCCTCAGCCCCAGGACAGGGTCAGAGTCAGAGCAAGAGCTGCAACCAGAGCTGCCACTGCTGCCCTAGATTGGGGCCAGAGCTGGAGCTATTGCAGCCACCTGCTCTCCACTGCCTTGTACTCTGAATCCAAGATGAGGAGTTTTCTTTCCAGTGTTTAATGTGGGGGACACCTTGTCTTGGATTTAAGTAAATGTGCTAATTAAACTTCCCATACCCTTAATCTTAATTGCTGCAGAGTAAAACGTCAGACTCAAATACTGAGTCCTTTCTATTACATTATCCTTAGATGAGTAATATAGGATATCATTAAAAATATTTCTCCTTCTCAATTTTTCCATTGTTTTCACTGTATTGCCTCCTACTTATTGACTTTGCAACCTGCTTTGCTTTCAATAGTTTGTGGCATGTCTTCTAGACTAGACAAATTCTGTACTGCCTAAAGTAATAGTGTTTTTCATTTCCACTTCAAATAATTGGTGAAGTTTTCGGGTACTAACATCTGCTTATGCAGATGCAAATATTTTAGGGGATAGTTTTGTTCTTCATTTGCTCCTTAAGCTACTTAGAATGCTGCTCAACCTTGCAATCCAGTGAGCCAGATAAGTGTCACAGGGCTGGTCCACAAGCCAGATCTTGTGTGGATTCGGTGTACAGGATTGGGCCACACATGCCAGGATCTGGCCTCATGCAACCCAGATCTGGCCTTGCACTGTCTGGATCAGGCCCTGTGCCACCGAGCCCTGTGCACCTAGATCAGGCCTTGTACACTCCAGACTCGCACACCCAGCCTAGTACACGGGCCACGCTATCTACTTCAAGGTTTCTAATGGGTCTAGACATTTGTCAGCTGTGGAATGTCAATTAATGCTGCCACGGCTCCCCCACTGCCAAATTTTAAGACTCCTGTGGAGCCCTGCCCTGCACTTGAGCACCCCAACTTAGAAGATACCAATTTGCTGTTCCATTCAGTGTGATGGACATCTAAATGACCTACATTTTGGGGAATACATAATTGTAGATGCATTTTTTGTAACTGGAAAAAGTGGGGTCATTTCACTCGGAGCTGAAATTTGTTCAGTTACTAGAAATAAGTGAGATGCTGTGTGCTTAATATCCAAACTCAAAGATTTAGCATTATTACAAACCTTACAGATCTTTGATAGGATCTGTGACATAACATTATGCACAGGGCATACTTTCTACTCAAGCTTTAATTTCAAAATCTGGAATTCCTCTGTGCCAAATGTTTAAAAATAATTAAAATAGATTTCCAGAGTCAAAATATCAGGCACAATGGATGTTGAGAGCAAAAAAGATTAGGGATGTGGTGATTATTGTAAAGATCATGCATACTCAGAGTTAAGATGACATTTCGAGGACATTTTCTGTCATGAATGCTAAAGCTTTGAGAGGGGGGAAAGAGAGAGAGAGACAGAACAAGAATACAATAGTGATTAAAAATGAATGTGCTATATTGCACCTGAATTAAAATTGTAACTGTGTTTCTGAAGAGTGTGAAGTATTAGAGTTTGATTAATGTTCAAGTTATAATAAACAAATAATGTTATTTTAAAATTAGTTCATAAGAACTCAAACAATGACTTGGAATAAAAATAATCCTTCAAAAATCAAAAACAAAATTCTGTTTTATATCAAATAAAATAATCCAGTAATTACTCCTCTTACAAATTCAGTTCTTTTTTTTTTCCCCCCAGAACATACCAGCTAGCATATCAAATGACCCTTTCCTCTAATTGGGTTAGTCTGTTTAATCTTCATCTTCTGTGGTCCCTGATATATATTTGTTTAATGGCATGATGGGATCTGATCCCAAATAGGGGCCATTACTACTTGCCATTGCAGGGAGAACCCATGGTCCTTCTGCACTGACAAGTTGGAAGCCAGGTGCCTACATGCAGGGCTGATAATGAATTGCTTGTCAGTCCTGATGGAGAGTTCCAGGTCCCATTCAAGACCTAGGGATGTCGAAGGAGTGAGGCCAACAATTAGCTGATTGCTGGCCCCAATTCTATACAGTCACAGGTCCAGTTCACCCTGACAGTCAACAGATTTTCAGCCCTGAATAGCCCTGGCTTTGAGACCTGAGGCTGTCTGGGCTGGGGCCGATAATTACCTGACTGTCAAAACCTCATACTAGGCAGCACTGGCCCAGCTGCCTGGTGCAGGGGAGCAGAGGCTCATGGGGAGGGGGAGCCTTTGACTTCCCTTGCTGGGGACTTTAAACCACACTCTGGGCAGCTCTGGCTGGGTAGCTTGTTTCAAATATTATCACACCATTAATGGTCTGAACGTGTAGCAGGGTAACTATTTGAGATCCAATTAACAGGTTAATCGCATCTCAAGTGTAACGTCTGCCAGGGGCCTATGTGTATTTGTGTGTATGTTCATATCCATGAGCCGAAGAATTCTTGTTTCTGTCAATGGTATCTGTATTTTATGATTATAAAACTGAAATTTCAACAGAGAATGGTATTTTGGTTTGGAGTCATGTTCTCCAGTGGTCTGGGCAAATTATTCTTTCATTTGCTTTTTCAACAGATATATTTCCTCCAATTTTTTTTTTTCATTGTTAGAGAATAAACTATAGAAATGATCCCTGAAATATATTAAGCAGGCATGCTCTCTCTCTCTTGCTCTGTCCTATTTGCATGAATATATTTATTGGCATATTTATTATTACATTAAAAGGAACCTAAGCCGCCAAACTCAAGAACTTGAAAGTTGCTGGCAGTGGGTACACGCACCTCAAGGAGAACAGCAGGGAAGGGGCTGGAGCTGCACTGCCACAACAAGGATTAGATCCCTGGAAGTTCCTCCCCACAGCCCTGTCTGCCCCAAGGCACCCGTGCCAAACAAAATGTCTTCATGTGCCACACTCTTGGCATGCATGCCAGGGGTTGCCTACCTCTAACCTAAAGAGATATCCACTCTGTTGCCACTGCCTCTCTGACAGGCTCCCTGGCTGAATAGTGTGCTTTTGAGGCAACTTGGTATCGCTACAGCTAGGGGGCTATATATGTATGCACTCCCCCATAGTGCTTTGTTTTTTAAATTAATGCGTGAGCATTGTCTTGGTTGGCAAGAATCAGTGCCTAATTACTGTACCTATTCTTAATTTACCGGTATACTATTGGTGTTTATCTGCAATTTTTTTCTGGTCCATTCAGGGCTAAGTCAAAAAGAACTAGTAGTTGGAGATAGTTATATGCTGCTTATAATCTTCTGTTCACTGAAAGAGAAATACACTTTTATAGAATAATTTTGAGCACACAAATCACAGAAACATGTAGACAAAGAGGAGTGGAACTGTATCTAACAAATACCTTCAAAAATAGCAATTTTATATAAATATAAATATATAAATAAGAGTGATTTTTCTTCTTTCCAGCAGTCAGCAATAGGCTTTGAAGTGTTTTAAATCTAGTTTTGCACAGTGTACTTTAGTAAATGTTAATTTTGTGCATCTAGTCACAAATGAATATACAGATATTTTAACTTTCTTAAAACAATTTCTGCCACATTTTCTTTGTCAGCTGCTTGGCAGAGCCACTTTTGTTTTGATGGGTTTTTTCCTTGTGCAAATTCAGTATCCTTTCTGCTGAAGCTAGTGTCTTTGGCATGCAACTTAAACTTCTGAGTACAGGAGGTAATCAGAATAGAGTAATGATGGACATAAGGTTATGAAAAATCTTTGTTGTAATAGATATAGTGAGAAATAACTTCTCTCTTTTCATAAACAGTAGGTGTGTCTACATGTGATGCTTTACTCAAGATTAGAGCCAATTACTGCACAGTAAGCATCACCATCTATACGTGCAGATGTTTACTGCATAGTAATTGGCTTTAATCATGTGTAAATTTGCTGCCTGTAAATTCAAGTAGCAAATTGACTCTCAGTTGCCTTAGTGTACAGTAAGGCACATGCAGACAGCTGACTGGGAGCAAACGTGCTCTTGGTCAGCCAGGCAGCAGGGGTGGGTGATTGCTCCCTGCCCCCAGGAGCTGCCTGATGCCAGGGCAGGCTCTGCCACTGGAGGCCAGACAGGGACACTGTCCCTCTGCCCTGGTAGCAGCCCCGCTTCCTGATCGTGACCACAGAGTTTGGGCTGAGAGATAAGAATGTCCCAGCCCAGGCCCCAGGCTTGTAGAGTGGGAACTGGGAGCTCCCTGCTGCCTGAGCAGGGTGACATTGTTACTTCCTGAGCTCTAGTGGTGGAGCCCGCCTCAGCCGCAGGCAGCTCCCAGGGATAGGGAGCAATCTCCAGGCCCCCGCCAGAGGACAGCTGTCTCCTGGCCCATGCTCTCTGCTAGCCCCTGATGCAGGGGCCCAGTCAGGGCCAAATTAACCCTTTAGTGGGGTCTAGGCAAATAAACTCATGAGCCCCTACTTAATAGTATATATTTATATTATTTTTCCCACTCAATAATTTTATAAAATAAGCACAACAGGGCTCCTTTTTCATTGATGGCCCTAGGCATGTGCCTAGTTTGCTTATGTGTTAATCTGGTTCTGGGCCCAATGCAGGGCTGCAAGGAGTGGGAGCAGTCTGCTGCTAGGAGCAGCAAATCTGCTCCCGCATGCCTGCATATGTAGATGTGTACCTGAGATGGCTTACTCTGCAGTAAACTGATCCCACATTATTTGCACATGTAGATTCACCTAGTGAGTCCTACTTTCATTTTGCCTTAATCCATAGCATTGTAAGGAAAAATGCATGAAAACTCACTATCTGATTTTGTACTCTTTCAGTCCTCTGAAAACATTTAATCTAAATTATATAGGAAATGAAGCAGCTGGGAGGCAAAGCAATTAGGAATGGGAAGAATCATACTACGGCTAATGAGACTACTTATGCTTCCCTGCTTTACAGGATTTGGCTCAAATCCTCTGAATTTTCCATAGTAACATAGATATGCATGGATCATTTTGTAGAATATGATGTCTTTGGAACTGGCTTGAAAAGCTGCATCCATGGAGGCTGCACAAGCATTTGTGCAAAAGAGTGATTTTTATCTCCTCAGTCTCCATAAAGCAGTGGTCACCATCTGGTCAATTGCAATCAACTGGTTGATTGGGGAGCCTCAGACAGTCAATCTCTGACTAAAATCAACTGTCAGAGGCTCTGCAATTGGGAGCAGAGGGACGCCTGTGGCTGGGCTGAGCCACGCCCCCTGCCATTGGGGCTGGGCTGTGGAAGTGGGACAACCCCCCTCCATGCCCCCTGCACCTGGGTGAGTTGGGCCCTGGCCAGGCCAGACTGGGGGAGGGTTAGAGCCTGGAAGGCTCATCCAGGTACATGGGGGGGCTCCTGCCACTGCATGCACCCTGGCAGAGGCCCGGAGGGCACATGCCCCCCGCAATCTGTGAATGGGATGAGGCTGCTGTGTGCTGGGCTTTGTGCCCCAAGCCCTCCTGCAGCTGAGTAGGGAGCAAGACTGAGCCGGAGGCGGCTCACAGCAGCTGGGGGGCAGAGGACTGCCTCCATGTACCCAAGAGTGGGGGTGGAGAGAGGTCCTGTGAGGTAAAAGTGCATAAATGAGGCCCAGTTCACTGGTCAAATGTGTGAGAGATGTCATCCATGTATTTGTTACTTTTGTGATCGTATGAGCAGAGATGCATGAGAATATTCCTATGAATAGACATTAAAAGTCGGGAAACAAATCCCTCTCATATAATTTTTCTCAGCCATTCTGAATAGGAATACATTCTGATAGAAGGACTCATAGTGTTGCCCATACCTATAACTAGGCTTATGTCCCTTCATAAATTTCAAGAAAGGATCAAGACCTCCAAGACCAGGATACTGAGGAAGAGGCAGTAAAAGAGAGAAAAATCAAATCTGTTTCAGTAAGTTTTGCATGTGGATAAATCCACTGAGTTCAAAGGGATTTATTCATAAAGAAAAAATATTTTAAAATGTCTGAATTTTATTTTTTTGACAATTTTGTTTAAAAACAGATGTATTTATTATCCTATCAATATAACCTTTTTAGAAAAAGGAAACATCAGTTCCTCTGATTTTTTCTTTTATTTTCTTTTTAAAGTGCATATTAACAGATGGATAGGTTATACTAACATAATTAAATGAAATTTGCTAAATGTCAGTGACTACTGGGATTTCAAAACAATTCCATTTCTGTTTATAAAGTTCTTGATTAATATAATTTTATAACTTACTTGAGTAGACATTCTGCAGAGACTAAGTGTAAAAATATGTTATGTATTGCATAGCCATCTAATTAAAATATTATATTTTAGAATAACTAAAGATGGCTAGGCACTTTAGAGATGTGTAGTAAGACCTGGTGTCGGATATGAACTATGTAGGCTGAACTTATTGTTTAGGTATCTGAGTACTTTATAAAATATAACAAAGAGTTTGAGTAGAGCTGGGTGATGTGTTTTCTTTGGTTGATGACTTTATTCACAGAAATAGCTTTACACCAGTTAACTAACACTATTTGTACATCCATGTCACATGTGGCAGATAGTTTTAGCAGGGAAAAAGTGAAAAAATTTAAAACTAATAATTTTTAATTTCAAAATGAAATTTGAAAAGTAAGTTAATTGCTATTGAAGAAGGGAAACAAAATTGCTATTAAATGTTTTGGTTCAAACAAAGGGTTTTGTACAATTTTAAACAAATTTTAGCCAAATTTTCATTTCTGCAGGAAAACCAAAATATTTTCAAAGCTCTGTTTCTGAATCTTCCCCCACTTTTACTTTCCTGAGTCTTAAGATCCTTCTGCCCCACCATAAAGAAATAACTTGCCAATTCTGATATTGTTTTGGATTATATGCACTGCTATTCATAGTAAGGTGGGTTTTTTTCTTCTAAAGGGATTGATAGTGAAACAGTAATTAACTAGTCAAGCAGATCATTACAAGGAAACAGGATAAATTTTCCTCTCAAACTTTCTCACAAGAAGAACAAGAGGAACCAGAGCTGTCTTGGAGCTATGCTGCTTCTTTCTTCCTCCACGTGTGCCTTACTGTGCAGTAGATTAATTTACTGCACAGCAAAGAATCACCATCTACACATGCATGGTAATTAGGCTGGAGTAGACTAATTTACTGGATTATCCAATAGCTAAGTCAGACGCAAGTACTGTCCAGCAGCACAGTATATTACTGTGCTTAAATGCACATGTATAAGGTGACAGGGCTGGCTGGGGCATGAGGATGCTTAAGCACAGGGCTACCCAGCTGGCAGCCCCTGAGCTGAAGCACCCTTTTGCCCCAGCCAGCTGCTCTGCAACATGTGAAGCCCCAGGGCTGCAGGGGCTGTGGAGGGGCTGACTGAAGCACCTTCATGCCCCAGCCAGCTGCTCCACAGCACATGGAGCCAACAAGACTCCACATGTGGTAGAGCAGCTAGCTGAGGCACGAGCAGCACCCTTGTGCCTCAGCCAGCCCCCCCCCCTCCTGTGACACACACACACACAC